TATACTATTGTCATTGCATATATGTATACTATTGTCATTGCATATATGTATACTATTGGCGGATGGTTTTTTCTTCCGCTCACCTTTGCTTATATTTTATAGACATTTTAATTTGTTTGAAGAAATAATTGGATTTTTTCGAAATCATGTGTTACTAAGATCAAGAATTAGTAAAAGAAGTTTTTTATCCAAATTTTTCAGAATATGAATAAAAAATTGCGGCCACTTCCTAAAGAGTGAGCCAATTTTTCGCCAATCACAAATGTTTTGGTGTTATTTTGTTGGAGAAATGATGAGACATTAAGCAAACAGAGCTTCACAGCATGGAGATAGTTTTCATCACTTGACAGATACATGTATAATTATATAGAAGGTATTGGGAGGTCAAGAGACAGACAGCACATGAGCTTTTAAGATCGTCAGCACAATATTTAGGTTTTGCAGTAAAAGCAAAAATATGTTATTGTTCTTACTTACTTTCATCTTTTATTTTTCAATTTTACTTTTCCAGTTTTATTCGGGATTTACTGTGAAAGCTTTTGAAGACTACGAGCAAACGCGAATTATTGGCATATTCGATGTGTTTCCTTATCTAAGTAAAGTCGACACAAGTCTAAATACCGCCAGAGTGCACGAGCAAAAGTCAATTCAGGACGGCAGAACACATGCATAGTGAGTATTACAAGCGATATAATAAACGTTATGTCTGAGACGTTAGATCCCAAACATCGAGAAAAATGCATCACTTTCATGTATTTTTCCCTTTTCAGTTGGTTTTAGAAATTCCGGAATCTTGAAGACAACCAATGTAATCTATGCTTGATTTAGATTGTTAAATCATGGCGTAGGTTAACTTTGTTATATAACCACAAACCTAGGTTGTTGACAGGTCATTATTTAGACTATGCAGTCATGATCATCAACAACAGTTGCGGGTAAGAAAGCTTATTCCAATTAAAAAAAAAAATAATAATAATAATGACGTCGCCCTTAAAATGTATGAATAATACAGTTGAGTTTTTTATTTATTATTATAAAAAAATGTTTTATTTCTTTTTTAGAAATTATATACATTGTGTTTAATTGTTATTATCCAATAACATAATAATTACCTACATAGTTTCATTACAAAACGGCGATTTTCTGTATAAAAATATAAAACATTTCTGTTCTCGTTGTTTCTATTTTTTCTTTGTTATTAGCCTCCATGTGACATTTAAAGTGTATGACTGTACACCTGACTTCACCAGTAACAGAGTATGTGACTCTAACGGACAACTTGTGTGTGCGCCACACTTCTTTGGTCCGCACTGTGACAAGCAGTGTATCCCTCCGCCTTTACGTGGACACTGTGATACGTATGGAACCTTGCGTTGTGATCTCCCGTTTTTCGGTTCAAACTGCAATGTAAGTGCATCTCCTCAAAATCATCCGGTAGGTGATTTCGCAAAAGATTGAATGATATTTGCACAAAAGATTGAATGATATTTGCACAAAAGATTGAATGATATTTGCACAAAAGATTGAATGATATTTGCACAAAAGATTGAATGATATTTGCACAAAAGATTGAATGATATTTGCACAAAAGATTGAATGATATTTGCACAAAAGATTGAATGATATTTGCACAAAAGATTGAATGATATTTGCACAAAAGATTGAATGATATTTGCACAAAAGATTGAATGATATTTGCGAAATTTGCAATGAAATACACTGTAGTATGTTAATACAGTGTGACGTTTGAGTAAATCTCCGACCATTTACTGGCTCTAAAGATTTCTTTTGGTGTTTATTAGCTGCTAAGAACGTGATGATAACAATAATTTAAGCATCGCAAAGAAGTCACATGGTTGACACGGACCGGTACTATATTCTGCACCGGTGGACATGCCTTCCTGACTTTCAATGCCGTGTTCTAATTATATTGAAAATAGTTTTGCCATATTAGATCAATTCACCAAGCGATACCAACATCCTTAAATCATATCCAATTCCAGACTAAAATGTTAAATCTTGAATGGTCGATTTTTTAAATTATCAGTAGCGCTGTTTGGGCAGAGAATATTTAACGTTGTGAATTGTCTTCTCTTTCCAATCAAGTTAAATTAAATGAGTGTTTTCTATCAATTCCTATATTTAAGAGCAAAGAGGTGAAATAAGATGTTCTGTAACTATTTCCACTCCACGTCTAGTTTTAACCCCTTCTGCCCTCTATTGATTCCAGATAAAGTGTTTCGGTCACAAACTACTTAAAAAAGGCAAATACAAAAATGTTATAACTGTGAAAGACACTGGTGTAACCCAGTTACAATAAGTGGTGCAATTTGTTACCAAGCTGCACTAAGTGGTACTAATTTGTACCCAGTAACACTAAGTGTTGCTAATTGTTACCCGGTTACACCAAGTGGTGCAATTCGTAACAAAGTTACACTAAGTGGTGCTAATTGTTACCCAGTTACACTAAGTGATGCAATTTGTTACAAACTTACAGTAAGTGGTGCAAATTGTTACCAAGTTGCACTAAGTGGTGCTAATTTGTACCCAGTAACACTAGGTGGTACTAATTGTTACCCAGTTACACTAAGTGGTGCAATTTGTTACAAAGTAACGCTAAGTGGTGCTAATTGTTACCAAGTTGCACTAAGTGGTGCTAATTGATACCCAGTTAAACTAAGTGGTGCTAATTGTTACCAAGTTACACTTAGTGGTGCTTATTGTACCAAGTTACATTCAGTGGTGCTAATTGTTACCAAGTTGCATTAAGTGGTGCTAATTGTTACCAAGTTACACTTAGTGGTGCTAATTGTTACCCAATTAAACTAAGTGGTGTTAATTGTTACCAATATACACTAAGTGGTGCTAATTGTTACCCAGTTACACTTAGTGGTGCTAATTGTTGCCTAGTTACATTTAATGGTGTTAATTGTTACCAAGTTACACTAAGTGGTGCTAATTGTTACCCAGTTACACAAAGTGGTGCTAATTGTTACCAAGTTACACTAAGTGGTGCTAATTGTTACCCAGTTACACTAAGTGGTGCTAATTGTTACCAAGTTACACTAAGTGGTGCTAATTGTTACCCAGTTACACTAAGTGGTGCTAATTGTTACCCAGTTACACTTAGTGGTGCTTTTTGTTGCCTAGTTACATTTAATGGTGTTAATTGTTACCAAGTTACACTAAGTGGTGCTAATTGTTACCCAGTAACACTAAGTGGTGCTAATTGTTACCAAGTTACAATAAGTGGTGCTAATTGTTACCAAGTTACACTAAGTGGTGCCAATTGTTACCAAGTTACACTAAGTGGTGCTAATTGTTACCAAGTTACACTAAGTGGTGCTTATTGTTGCCCAGTTACATTTAATGTTGTTAGTTGTTACCAAGTTACACTAAGTGGTGTTAATTGTTACCAAGTTACACTAAGTTGTGCTAATTGTTACCCAGTTACACTTAGTGGTGCTAATTGTTACCAAGTTACAATAAATGGTGCTAATTGTTACCAAGCTATACTAATGGTTTTGGTTAGCATATATTGTGTTATATACAGTGTATAAGTTGTCAAGGCAGATAACAACGAATATCTGCGAATACGGACAGCACACACGGTTGATCAATTTTGACATTTACAGAATTATTCATTTGAGCGCCATTTCTTTTGATCATTGTCTTTTCTAATGATATTTTGAAAACAGTTTTGGCAATGTATAAAGTGTATAATCCTTTTGTTTTAAGAACTCGGGAGACTTTATCCTGAAGATATCACTCAAGAGCCTTTTTATTCCTGCTTGTCCTTGTCCACAACCAAGTGACACGTGTTCGCCGATTTGTCATCCAGCTGTGCGAATATGTTTAATGTAAATATACCCTAAGGATTGAATTCAGTTACCCCCATATCGTTTAACAATATTATTATAAGTAAAACAAGAAACATCGTAGTTATCAAAACTGGTTTGAAACAAATGTAGTTAAACATTTAATGTTGGAATGATAACAACTTTAAAATTGGTCTTAAAATCATTAAGATGACAATGCTTAACATGAGCACGAGAAACGGTCGATTGCGATTAAAGAATTTGACAGGAAGGAGAATATATATTTTTTTAAATGGGTGGCGATGTAGACTTATTGAAAATCCTGGCCAATGTTTGTGGTTTTCACTCTACAAAATATACAACGGTTCTTTTTAAAACAAATTTTCCACTGAAAACAACGTTGTTGCACGAACATTTCTATCGCTAAGCATGCGTTGTCATTTATACGATTCATACATATCATTATCTATAATATTGCTAAGGTAACAAACCAAATCCATGTTACTTGTATACGCTGAATAAAATTCATTTGTCCTTTTTTTGACATTTCTTCTTTGGAATAAACTTTGAAGAGAAAATGGACTGAACACATGTACACAGGAAATGAATGGCACAGCAGATTATTCTGGCAATCAACACACAACCTTTGGACCATCGGTCGGAAATCTTTCGAATCCTGTTCTTTTTCATCTGCTAACGTGGTCGGTAAGTTTAACAGAACTTAGTATTAAAAGGGTTTTACATTGGAGTTATATTTACATTTCAGAATAGCGGTATTATTCACCAAAACAACAAACAAACTAAAAACGGCGATATGATGCATTTATTACAATGGTAAACATAATAGCGTTTCCTTTGCATTTTTTAGTTATGTTTTCTTTTCAAATTTGGGGCCTGTATAATAAGAAAGGTAAACCTTTTTGATAAATGTTGCTTGTTGTTATTTTGCAGTCCAAAAGTAAGTTCCAGGTTATCTTCTACGGTAACGGTCAGCCGAATCACCTGGTAGGTTCCTTCCTGGTCACACCCTTCCTGCCAGTGGCCGGTATAGCAACAGAAGGCCAGGAGGTCAGACGTGTAAGAAAGACGTTTAACAACACAGGAGCTATGTAAGTATAGTAGGAGTAACAAAAGGTAAATCTAATCACACTTATCTGATTTGACAGAACTAAGTCAATCGGTCAACAAGGTCGAGTCCATATTCTTAGGAGGCGCGATAGTCTAGTGGCAGGACGCCAGGCTCGTGACCGTAGGACTGTGTTGTATCCTTTAGCAAGATACATTACTCCGCTTGTTCCAGTCTACTCAGCTGTGAGCGCCGAAATGGCAGCACCGGCTGTATGCTCCCCAGGGAGTTGAGAAAGGTATTGGCTGGTTGCAAAGTCCCTATAACCACGGATAAGAACTTGTGAACCGCTTTGAGACGACCTACGAACTAGATTGTGATAAAGCGGTACATAATAACCTCGGATTATTTTAGTAGTATTATTATAACATAGCAGATGTGTAAATACATGAATCAATTTAACTTTTACCTCAACAAAAGTGATGATCTTACAAAAATGTGATCCTACAAAACGGTTGACGAAAATGCACGAATGTGTTATGTCTGTATTCAGAGCAGATAATTGTAACTTGGGCATTAGAATACTGACGGTATTACGACTTGCCAATATAATATAAATATATAAAACGTATAACTTAGACATTTTTAAGCAAGTAATGATGGATTGACAATGTCCAGCAACAACAACAAAAAGTGAAAATAAAAAAACACCTTGAATATGTCATACAGAAATATTTATATCTCAAATTATCGAATAGAAACTAAATATAATCCTGTTTTTCAGATAGCATGGTATCCAAGCTTTTCATCTACAATCACTTCTTACAGTTATTCAAATCAACTGCTTCAAAGCTTGCCAACTGTAATTAAACGTTACAACAGCTTATTTTAGATGACATCGGGATTACTCTTCGTTCAGCATGTTTTATCCTACATTCCCATACAACTGTGGTCCAGCTGGACGCATAGTCGCAACCTTACTTAAAATTGTCAATACTGTAAAGCTAGGACAGTTTTCTATGAAGGATAAACAAATCGAACGGCTTCTGCCATCAACTGGACAGCGAATTTATAGATACTAACGCAGTCTATGAAAGACTACCGGGATTTATATCTTATCTCCACCATTCTGCAAAGCATAAACAGCTTGAAATAAAAAATGAAAAATAAAACAAAGAAAGTGTTTTTCCATAAAAAACAAGTTTCTCTTGGATCGGCCATCCACACCCGACGATTTGTATGATAAGTATGTAAAGTTGTATCAACTGACTAAGGATTTTGTACCTGACCTTTCTTCTTTACCATTCGTTTGTCAATTCATAAAAATATCAACAAAAATAAATACATATAGCAGTTGAAAACCATAAGAGGAAAATTAATGTCCCACTTAAAATATTAATGATAGTATAAAAACATTTTGAATATATGATATCTTAAAACTTTTAACATAATATGGAATATTTCACATGTACAGCTACTAAATACACTATTTATTAGGGGATACATTTGCATAGTAAACATATAATTTTATAACATGTTCATGGAATAAATATGTAATGTTCATGCTGTATACAATGTATTATTTTTCGTTTAAGACTGACCTTGGAATACGAGGTGTTCCTAGATACTTGCACGCCACAACCAGACCACCATCGCGTGTGTGACCAGCATGGCCACCTGGTATGTGACAAGGACTTCTACGGACCAAACTGTGAGAAGATCTGTGTCCCTACCAGCCACGCGACCTGTGACAACCATGGGCGTTTAATTTGTAACGCCAGCTTCTACGGACCAAAGTGTAATGTACACTGCGTGCCCGCGGAACATAAACAGTGTGACAATAACGGTAACCTCCGATGTCTCCCGAACTTTCACGGAACGCAGTGTGATATTTACTGCGTGTCTACTATACGTGGAAGGTGTGACACGCACGGAAATCTACGATGTTTCCCGAACTATTTTGGACCGAACTGTAGCGTTCACTGCATCGCCATAAAACATGGAACTTGCGACCGAAACGGAACTCTTGCATGTCACGTGGAGTTTTACGGTTTGAACTGTGATGTGTTTTGTAAAGCCACACCTCATGGTGCTTGTGATCAAAATGGAACTCTTGTTTGTGAAAGCGATTTCTATGGAACGGCATGCCAAACATTTTGTAATGAAACAAAACATGGAAGTTGCAATGCCGAAGGTGATACCATTTGTCATCAGAATTTTTATGGTGACTCATGTGACGTGTTTTGTATAAATTCTCAACACGGTCAATGCAATTCCAATGGAACTCTGGAATGCGAAAAAGATTATTTTGGAGCATTATGCGAAATATTCTGCAATAGGTCTGCAGGTGATTTTTGTAACTGCACAAAAGGATATACTGGACGAAGGTGTGACGTTAAACTTTCGGGATGTTATTCACAGCCTTGTCTGAATGGAGGTACCTGCAAAGAAACCAATAATGTAGATGCCTATCAATGCGAGTGTCCTATTGAGTTCACAGGCACAAACTGTGAGAGGTTGAATGTCTGTGCCTATTCCCCATGTCGTCATGGACAATGTACCGCGACCTCCAGGAGTTTTCACTGTAGCTGTAAACCCGGCTGGACTGGATTCACCTGTGAAACAGACATAAATGAATGTCTGCAGTCCGTGTGTCCGTCAGGCAAAACGTGCATTAATAACCTTGGTAGCTACACTTGTCTTTCCTGTGAGCAGACTCTCTGTCGGAACAATGGGACCTGTAGTTACAAGGACCTTGCTCCTGTCTGTAAGTGTCGGCGCGGCTGGACCGGAAGAGACTGTTCCGTTGCTGATGCTTGTCTTGGCAATCCTTGCAGTCATTACAAAAGATGTGAGGCCGTTCCTGATGGATATTATTGTCACAATGTTGATGATATTTGTAGCCTAACGCCGTGTCAGAATGGCGGGGAATGTCGACAAAACGGTCACAATTTTACCTGCATATGCCGTCTAGGGTTCAAAGGCGAAACATGTCACGAGGTCGACCGCCAGCCATGTTTAAATGGTGCAAGTTACAATACCCATACTAACACATGTTCTTGCGCTAGAGGGTGGAACGGGGACACGTGCAATAAAACTAACCATTGCGCGTCTGACCCTTGTAACAACAATTCGTCTTGTGTCAATAGTTATGACAGTTACGCGTGCCTGTGTCAAGAAGGCTGGCGGGGACATACCTGTATGACAAAAGACTTCTGCTTCAATAACCCCTGCAACAGTGGAAGTACATGTCTTACTTCAACGACGTCATTCACATGCAAATGTCCTCCAGGAAAGATTGGGCTTCTTTGTAACAACACAATGAACACATGTGACCCGTCTCCTTGTTTGAACAACGCCCTATGTGAGACGGTTGGAGGGGCGGTCGTCTGTTACTGTCTCGGTGGCTGGGTTGGTAAGATATGCGAAATTGACGTCAATGAATGTGACAACAACCCGTGTCCCGAACCACTCTCCTGTGTCAACTTTCCTGGGGGCTTCACGTGTACGAATCACGAGCACGTTATCAGACGAGATGTCCGACAATCTCCAAGGTTCGGACCAATGCAGCCATCAGAAAATGAAGGTATTACGTCTCAAATACTGATCATTGACTGCTAAGCAGATACTAATTTGTTTTCAATATAACCAGTCTTGTTACTAGTACGTTTATAAAGGATATGCAATTTTTACTGGTTGAATGTCACGAGAATGAGAGAATATCGTCTGTTGCCAGGGGTGCGAGGAACGAGTGCAAATAGTGGTATAATTGCGTATATGGTATTCCACGGGGAAAAACGGTACAGTAAGTTCTGTTAATTGCATTTTCTGTTTATTTCTTTAGTAATTACATACAACGACGCAAATATAACTATATCAGACCAGAAATGTGGGGATTTTGGAGTACAGAGTAACATTACAGCACCTTGATAATCTCTTATTACGACACACATGCCTCTCACCTGTGATAATATTCTATACCGATAATGTATATACACGTTACACAGGCTTGTTTATTGGTTTTCAGTAGAAACAAAAGTCATTATCTCCTCCGTGTTAACAAAAGAAAACGTGTTCATTGTCAACCAACACATACAGGACATCCTAAATGTACGCCTCTGTGTGAGACACACGGCATCCGTACATCTTCTGTGTGAGACACACGGCATCCGTACATCTTCTCAGATTTCACTCCCATGTAAAGTTTGCTTGTTTCCCTGTTTCGTCCCTATCTTTCTATAATGTTCTTTCTTCTTTTCTCAAAAGGATTCGTTTTTATACCACAGAGAATGTTATTTGTCGAAGCCAGTTTCTTTGGCATTAAATTAATCAAAACAACAAGTAAAAGTTTTATTACAACATATTAAAGTAATGAATTTAAATAATTATTATTCTAACTTCCATTATTTTTTTTACATTTCGTGGTATCAGAGCAAGATATCGAACCCCATTTTTTAAAGTTTCTTTATTTCTGCTGACGTCACATAATGATAATGTTAACGTCAATTTATCTAGACGTAAAGCGAAGATTTCTTATATTCAATGTCACGTTTAAATTTGCTGAACAGGTGGTATTTTTAATATTAACAAAATCACTCCGTGTATAAGAAAAAATACCAATTATTAAAATAACTATGAAATTCTAAATTATGAATCAAGCTTCTTGTATTTGTTTTTTCAGCTTCGGAAAGTCGACCCCTAGCATAAGGGTACTTTGCGGTGATGACGTCATTGACAGGAAAACATTATTACACGAGTTACTGGACTTTGTTTGAAAATCGAAATATTTTATGTGGTCGAAAAATGACTTTCAATAAAATTCCTACATTCATGTTTTTTTAGATACAATTTGTAATATTCTATTTTATCGATGAAATAAAGCATTATTTGCTATGTGTAATAAGTTAAAATGAAATAGTTAAAAACACTTTAGAAACAAATCGGGGGGGGGAGGGGGGTTAGGATACGAAAACAACTCAAGGAAGCGAGGAGGCATAAAAAACAAAGCCACCTTGATTCCCAAAAAAAGGAGAATACGTAATGCACAACGGTTATCGTTAATATTTAATATATGGTACCTTGTCATCTATTTTTCCTTAATACTTTACTTTCCCGTGTGAGGTCTTTTAGTAATGAAGTGGAATCAATGAAATATTGATGTGGAAGAACTTTTTTGTCAGAAGATCTGTCGATCAATTTTAAGAAGATCTTGCCGTCAAAACATGTTACTTTTTCGGGCTTTACACTAGCATACATGTACCTCATACCAAACTGAAGTGACGTCATCTTTATCTTTCTTACCTATCCAAGAAAAACATGTAATAAATGATATATTTCTGGGTATTTTTTGTAAAAGTAAACAATCAAACAAAAAGTGTAGTTCATCGAAATTAACTGTTAATGAAATTGTGAGAACGATTGTGATTATACTAGTAGATAACTTTCGTTGTTGAGATCAGTTGCAAACTTTTCCAGTAGGCATTTTCTATGGGAACAAACTGCGCTTCTCTTCTGTAACAAAGTCTTGCCAAGTCCTTTTAATTTATATTTAGATCTTTCTGTCAATAACAAGATACTTACTGACCAGAACGATTGTTTAACCATCCTGAACTTGAAATCAAGGCAACAACTGACTATTATACTTCAGCTGGTCTCTTTGACCTTTATCTACATCATGACCTACAAAGACAGTTTTCTACGATAATCAGAATGTTTTCGACTTTTCGATCGTTAACTTTCCCTTTCTGAATAGCGGCTGACTTGCTTCAAATAGCTAAGGTTTTTTAATGTCGCAGTTGATTCGGTACTCAAGAGCTTGCTCCGAATATCATGGTCTTGAAATGAAAGGCAATGTAGGCTCTTCTACTTCAGGCGCTTTCATGCTTGAGTATGAGAACAGTTCCGTGAATTCGGCATAGGAAAAGTAGGCAAGACTTTACGTTAACAATGGGCTAACCAATTTTTGTGTCATGTACCATCTATTTAATAAAAGCTGGACGTCAAGCAGAGGGCAGCAAGTCTCGATCAGAGGACAGAACTCATGACCTTTCTTGCAAGGGCATTTGCTCCTCACCAAGACCAAAAGCGAGGTATGGCCAAGTAAGGCATAAGAAAGGAAAGTAGACAGGTTTTTTTCGTGAATGTCTCATTTAACGTTTTGAGCAAAGCAAAGGTTTTTGATACACGTACATATTCTCAGCAGGATATGACAACAAAGACCTTTACACGAATAAGAAATAAAGCAGCCAGGTTGTTTGTCACAATAATATACAAAAAACAAATGTTACAATTGTATTAGCAACTTAGATATTTCATACATTACTCTTCCTTTCCATACACTCTCATATGAAATTTTAGATGACAACGATTTAAAATAATTTCCGAACGATATAAAAGACTGTAGATGAATTCCGAGCTTGTCAGATTGAAGTGAATTGAATGGTTGAAGTTTCGTTTGGGTTTTCCTTGAGAATACGCATTTTAAGAAGGAACATTTCCAGCTGTGGATACAAGAATGTTTAGTTTCGTAAATTTGATAAATATGGCCTATAATAAATAGTTTAATATGATAAAACAATTCACAATCATATGGACACAATAGATATCTTATTTTGGAGCGCTTCGTTGACATGATTGCAAGCTCCCCTTAGAACCGGAGATTACAGATAGATGTAGGGTTCAAACAACTTCGTGTTACAGAATTGCTACAAGACGGAAATAGAAGAGTCGTTGTACGGAAAATCATTATAAATACGTGTATGAGTGTGTTAATGTCTCTTAAACCTTTCTGTACTGAAACGTCATGGCTTTATCGCAATAGTATCCGACATCTGCTACGACGGACACGTTAAGTGAGAATTGTTATGCAAGAAATCGACTTTCAATTCGCCTGTAATGACAACCATCCCGGTGCAAATAATAAAAAAATGAAACTAGAAACATTCATATTGAACAGAGAATTTACTTTCTTTCCCTCTCGAGCATGGTCCTCTGGTGGAAACTTAACTTTTATTTGTCGATACTGTGAGCTTGGTCGATTACTAATTACTGTGCGGAAATTAAAACTCTGATATAGCTAACTCATATTTCAAAATGGCGGCTATAACTTTTTAAAAATGTCGGATGATTAACAGGCTGGGCTTTAAAATGAACAATTCATGAAATCGTTCGAGTGGTAAATTGGGGAGTTGTAGATGATGGAACAAGTATAAAGAATCATCAACGCGTAGCAAAGTAGTTCCTGTATACGCGTGGGTGATACGTCTGCTATTGAAGGTTATATTAATGTCATAGTAAACACAACACTGACGAAAGCAGAGCACTTCCTTACAAAGAGAACAGGTATTCAATGAAGCATTTTGGTAATATGGAACTGCCAATACTTTTTGCACGTGACGCTCACGTAGCAAAACAGACGCTCTCAAGTGTATAAATTGAACTTCCGGCATGAGCTAGACCGATAAACAAATGGATACTAATAGGAAAATCTTCCCAAATTGGAATTATATGCTGCGATAGACTAAGGAACATTAAAGATGGACATGGTGTATAATTGCAGTTTTAATAAATGGTTGTGAAATTACAATAACATTTTTTGTCAGAGTAGTGAACTCAGGTTTTAGAATTTTGATGCGTTTTTTTCAAGGGACGCATTCATAACAACCAGTCATTCTTTCGGCTGACAAAGTATTTTACCGCATTTAAAATCAGCTCTTTAGTAATAGTAACACATACGTGCGTAAACAGAGTTGCTTTACCTTACTACACATAGGCTTTTTTTTTCGTCCGGAAGTAGACGTCCAGTTGGGAAACAGGAAGTGTATCCTTGAAGCAAAGACAATCGTGTTTTAACCCATACATGAATATCGTCATATAATAAAAACAATCTTCATGTTTTATTACTTGTTTATTTAGATAAAAACTTTTATACATTCTAAGTGAAAAAAAATCTATCACATAAAAGATACAATGACGTCACAAGCACGTCACAACCCATCGGCCTTCATCGGTTATTTCCAGAAGGATGAAAAATAACCAGAAAATCCTGGAACTGATGTCCGTAGCAATTATCTCTTTGTCGGTGCTTCAAGACTTTTTTTATTTCAGTTTTTGCCACATGCACAAAAAGTAAAAACGCGGATATTTTCTGGAGATCCTTTTTGTTATCAACCCGGTTCTGTTAGTATTTTTACTGGGAGATATCTTCAAAAAGAGCCGGCATTAAACCAATAGGTCAACGTGTACATTTATTTTTCATCATCTAAAATTTCATCAGCTTTTGATTTCCATTTGTTGAGAATATGAACGAAATAATTAACATTTTTGAAAGTCTGGCTACAGTCCTTACATTATTTATTTATGCATCACCACTCATAAAAGAAACAACTGAAAATGCATTTATGTCGAAATCAACAATAATTTTCCATACAACCAACTCAAGTGCAACGCCCTTTTACAGCAAAGTATCATTTTTTCACAACGTGTGCCGATTTCCAACTAGTTACAGACAGAAACTGTTTAGTTTTATTTGGCAACATTACCTTTCAAACCTTGGTGACAGTTACAAAATTTGAAATTCAAATCGGTGTTTTATTTTTTAGTAATTGGGACTACATTTCGATATAACGACAATCTCAGTTACATCGAATTATCACAATGTTTCCTTTTTTTCAATTTTATTTTTGCAACTTACATCTCTATACATTATCTTAGAATAATCGTCAAATATGTAATATGCACTTTTTTCTATAGCAATTATCAAACAATTTTTCCCCAGCTTATCTCAATCATTCTTTTTGTGCCCCGACGGAAGCACGCAGGGAATTTAATTCTTAACATGGCAGGAAGCTGGAGTATCCTGAGATAACCCGCGTGGTCGGTCAGGTGACCAGAATTGAATCCGGCCATCTTGGTGAGGACGAGCGCACTATCCACTGCGCCACCCGACCCATCATATACGTCTGACTGAAAGAAAATTGCGTCATTGATGCAAAAGTTGTATTGTGAATACATTTTTATCAATCATCAATGATACAAAAAAATCTACATACGGGAGACCGGGGAAAGTTCCGCCACCCCTGATATTTTTGTTTTTGAGCTAATATTTACAACTTTAAGGATCTTAGCAGTTTAGTACGAAATAATGGTGAGGAAAACTCTAATGTAAAATTACTAAACAGGAGAAAATTCCCTTTGAGAGGGTAGAAAGAAAATCATGATCTCGCTTCTAGTTATGCGAACTTTTTGATTGCTACTTTTTTACGGTCAAATGTGTTACACAGCTTCAAATGATATACATAAAAGCCAAGCCAAACCCTCACTACCATATTGCTGTACGATAAGAATTCATTGAAATATTAATTTGAGCCCGAACAGGTTCGTCCAATGATACTGTGGCAAGTTCGGCCCATGTAACATATAAAAAGTCGTAAAATTAGCGGTAAAATCTGCCGTTGCATGCTTTATGACATCATAATTAAGCTGATCTTAATGGGGGCCAAACTTACCCGAATGCCTATCCGAACTAACTCCATGGCGGGGCTCGTTCGGCCAGCCGATCTTCCGACAGGAAAAGTAAAATACTGTTCAAAAACGGACGAGCAGCCATACTTCCCAGAACGGACTTAAATAAAATAAAAAATAAAAAAAGACTCGAACTTGCCTCGGTCTCCCCTATTGTTATGTCTGTTTTAATCTCATTAAAGTTTGTGTTTTTATTGTTATTCCTCGACTTGCCGACTTTAAAAAAGGTTTATCTGATCTCATTCTGAAAGCAGTATTCTGAATCAGTAAATATCAGAGATCAACAAAAGCTACGCCCTTTTA